AAAGGTGGCGCTACAAAGTATTAGCGCAAGGGGGCCGAATAATATTGCACGCCCCACTTTTCAGTTTTTAATTTTTTTTTTTAATTTAAATTATCCAATACATTTCGTTCCACTTCACGATTGTGTCCCACTTGTTGTTGTTATATCTTTATGTTTGAAGCCTGAAATGTGGCGAAATGTTGAAAGGTTCAAGGGGGCCGAATACTTTCGCAAGGCACTGTATATAAGTATATTAAAGTAAGCCGTGTAGCTGGTGGAAGCATGTTATGTCTTCTTTAAGATTAGCAAAGCCATTTTTTATCCCAGACTCCTTCTCTTCCTCGACATCCCGACAGAGGACTCTCACATCGTTCTGACAGGACTCCAAGACAGATTTCCACCAAAACAAACCCAGAAGAAAACTTAATATACGTCTTTTAAGCTTTAAAAATACTCCATTCTTCTCCCACGGTCTCACGCTGTGCACATCTGCTGCAGCCTCGCACGAAACCGTCTCTGCGGAAAGAGGAATGTCGGAGCCGAGTCTGGTCTGAGTCTGGTCCGAGTCTGGTCCGAGTCTGGTCCGAGTCTGGTCCGAGTCCGGTCCGAGTCTGAGCCGAGTCTGAGCTGAGTCTGAGCTGAGTCTGGTCCGAGTCTGGTCTGAGTCTGATCCGACAACGACACAAGCGAAAAACAGGAAAGTCCGGGATCTGTGGTTGGGAAAATCGGATCAACCAGAAACACCATCGCTCAGATTTTTATTGCTCAATAAAAATCTATTCAATTAAATGATTTTTTTATGGTCTCTCTCTCTGGTCTCTTTCTGGTCTCTCTCTGGTTTCTCTCTGGTCTCTCTCTGGTCTCTCTCTCTGGTCTCTCTCTGGTCTCTCTCTGGTCTCTCTCTGGTCTCTCTCTGGTCTCTCTCTGGTCTCTCTCTCTGGTCTCTCTCTGGTCTCTCTCTGGTCTCTCTCTGGTCTCTCTGGTCTCTCTCTGGTCTCTCTCTGGTCTCTCTCTGGTCTCTCTCTGGTCTCATTCTAGTCTCTCTCTGGTCTCTCTCTGACTCTCTCTCTGGTCTCTCTCTGGTCTCTCTCTGGTCTCTCTCTGGTCTCTCTCTCTGGTCTCTTTCTGGTCTCTCTCTGGTCTCTCTCTGGTCTCTCTCTGGTCTCTCTCTGGTCTCTCTCTCTGGTCTCTCTCTGGTCTCTCTCTGGTCTCTCTCTGGTCTCTCTGGTCTCTCTCTGGTCTCTCTCTGGTCTCTCTCTGGTCTCTCTCTGGTCTCATTCTAGTCTCTCTCTGGTCTCTCTCTGGTCTCTCTCTGGTCTCTCTCTCTGGTCTCTCTCTGGTCTCTCTCTGGTCTCTCTCTGGTCTCTCTGGTCTCTCTCTGGTCTCTCTCTGGTCTCTCTCTCTGGTCTCTCTCTCTGGTCTCATTCTAGTCTTTCTCTGGTGTCTCTTTGGTCTCTCTCTCTGGTTTCTGGTCTCTCTCTGGTCTCTCTCTCTGGTCTCTCGCTGGTCTTTCTCTCTGGTCTCTCTCTCTGGTCACTCTCTCTGGTCTCTCTCTGGTCTCTCTCTGGTCTCTCTCTCTGGTCTCTCTCTAGTTTATCTCTGGTCTCATTCTAGTCTCTTTCTGGTGTCTCTCTGGTCTCTCTCTCTGGTCTCTCTCTGGTCTCTCTCTGGTCTCGAGCAGTGGGTCATGTCCAGAACACAGTGCCATGTTCGACATTTACCACTAGATGGCGGTGTTGCGCATTCTCGTCACCCATCGAAACAGAAATGGCGCTGCACAGACATTTTGGCTCAAATGGAGAAAAAACAATGTTGCAATTTTCTGCTTTCTTCAAATTGTTTGATGTCAATAGATATAATGTTGTTAAGTTGCTTTTTTGGTAAACATCTAAAAGGGCACGATGTAAGGAACCAAAACAAAACCAGACGCAAAGGTCCAACTTCCTGAAGTCCGAGACCGCTCTCGATACTTTGGCCTCAATATTTGCAAATGAACCTATACCAGTGAAGGGACTGTTTTAAACGAGCCGTCGATTGAGTAACAACAGAACGACTATTGTCACTATCAGAGTAAAAGGAAGTATTAAAATTACACGGAGCAATATCAGGAAACTCAAAATAAACAAACTGTCGTGAAACAGACAGAGATCCAACGAACGCCCAGGTCCACATCAGGTCCAACTCAGACCTACACAAAATGATCTTGGACATAATCTTCAAACAGAAGGGGCGGGGACCTGTATGTGTCTTCTCCTATTCAAAACTGGACTAAAAGCACTGAAGGCTTTGTGTTGTTTACTATTTACATTTAATTATAACATATTCAGGTTCGATGTGGTTGTTTTCTTCATAAAACCAGCTTTAAAATAATGTATAACATGCCATATCAGCTCAGACTCTCAGTAACAGTAATGTACGATGTCCACTAGGGCGGCCACAAGTACCTTTTCCCGGACCGCTAACAGCCCGCGGGCCGCAGCTTTGATACCACAGCATTACTGTCTCTATATATGTAAAACCTGTCTTATATTTCTCAGTATTTTCCTTTCAATAAAACGTTGCCAACAACAGGATTTATTTCAGGAAACGATATGAAATGTGTTTTTGTTTCGTCGCCTCTCAAAAAGCGAAAGACTGAATTTGCGTGAAATGAACCAATCAGAGCCGGTGCTTTTCCAAACGACAGGAAAGCGTCGCCTGCGGCTCATTCCGACGCAAACGACGTCCGCGAAGAAACAGAAACACACGTTATTTTATCACCGGCTGCTGATGCGGTCGTCACGGAAACTACAATCTGTGGAACGGTCGACTCTCATTCTCATTTAATGTCTGTTTTATCTTATGCCGACCTCGATATGTACATGTTTCTTAAAAAATAGAATAAAAAGAAGGACAGAATGATACAGGTCCCAGGGCGCTGTACAATATGGACAGACACAGATATGGAGTATAGACACTAATATAATAATATTCGTCTGAGTTTTTCATAGTTGTACGGAGTTTGTATAGTAACTGTTTGTTTTTGGAGGCGTGTCCTGTTGCCTTGGTAACGCGCTAAAACATCCCATTCCGCCGCAGCGCTCAGAGAAGTTTATGTATAACGTTTTACTAAAGTTCTCTTCCACTGAACCAAAAAACAAAACTCAAAAAAGACAAAAATTACTACTGCGATTGGAAAAGATGTGGCGTGTTTTTGAGGCTGAGACGTGTGTAACAAAGGTACTGTACCTTTGTGTGGGTTCTTTTGAAATTGTTTCCAAATCCAAAATAAATCCCTTCTGTGTCAATGTGCCTTTTTCAAACTCATTTTAGGATTATTTTTCTCAAGCTCCATGACTTCAGTTTTGCCACCGCCATGTTGGATTGTGGTGTAACTCCCCACGTCCACCACCAGAGGGAGTGTTGTTTGTCCGTATGTTATACACTTCGTAAACAACATATAAAACATTCTGTCAGGTTAAAAGTTAAAACATTAATTACAAATACTGCGTCATATTTGTCATACACGTTTTATTCTGTTATTATTATTTGTGGGTTTGATTCCCGAGATCTGCTCCTACTGTCTGCTGTTGTTGTGTCCCTGGGCAGGACACTTAACCCCTCTTTGCCTGAAGCCCCCGCTGAAAGATCAAAGCTGCAGCAGGACCAGGGGCTGGGGCTTGGAATGTTCTTGGAATTTAACGTTAAAATGTGTTTTAAATGGGACATAAATCGTAAGACCCTGGACCCCATGTTGGGAACGGCTCCCGTTCAAATTAAGAGAATTCTGAAAAAATCCCTAACATTTTCTAAAAATCTTTTTCACTGTTTTTCTTAAAACTAAGTAATCCATACGATTTTTACCTTCAGTTCAACAGCCAAACTACATACTAACTAAACAGTGTGTTGCTATGGTAACTAGCACTTTCTCCAAATGAGTTTGCGAAGGTTCGAGATCATTTCATTTAAACATAATTACATTTCTATAAACATATAAAATACAGAAAAAGTCTAAAAATTTGGGCGTTCTGCTCTCCCAAAATTCCATCCACTGAGCGGCGCTGTGATAAAAAAATGACACCGTTTGTTGCCCAGTTCACTTCCGGTTGATTTCATACAATGGCGAATATGGCTCACGAAAACAACAAACGATTGACAGTGCCTGAATTGCGTGAAAGGTTGAAGCGAAAGGGTATTTGCAGTGTGGGAAAACGAAAGGAGGAATTGTTGTTGCTAGTTCAACGAGCGGATGGTGTTTATGAAGATTTAGAAGAAGATGACAGCGAGCAGAGTGAACGAAAACGGCTGTGTGTGCGAGTGACAGATGGTAACAATGAGAATGAAGTTCAGCTAAGAGGGAAGAATGTGAATTGGACGGATGATTTGCGCGATATGCCACTAGTTAGAGACGGGAATGTATTTGCATACAGAAAATGACGAAAACACTCAACCATTTAGAGAAAATGCGCCGGGCAGAGAGAACCGGAAGTTGCGAAGGCAAGTGTTACCCATAATGCAACGCAAAATTCAGTCGCTCCCCCGCCCATCGGATGGAATTTTGGGAGAGCAGAACGCCCGAATTGTCGAAGAGGTAATTACATAATAATAGCAGTTACTTTTCCAAAAATGAAAAGCCGTCATTTTGACTGCTGTTGGAGTATAGTGTTGAATACTTTCTTATTCTCTTTTTCTTTACGTTGAGCTTGTCCATTGTTTGTTCTTCTAAGTGTGTGTTTCTGCCTCAGGACAATGGATGCTCTTTAGCTTTTGTGCTAATTCCAGAATATTTATGTTGAAGCTGACACTGATTATGTCCTAAGTTCATATAAATAAATAATACAAATAAAACATGTATACTTGTCTTTATCTTTATCCTGTACACTCTCAGTTCCATTTAAATCATCAACATGTTTTTTTTTTTTTTTTTTTCAGTATCTATGAAATGCAAATTAAATAGTGATGCACGCGCGGCACGTTCCATCAGACGTACCCAGACCCGTGCAATCACCGGTGCGCGGTGCATTAACGGCGGAGCCTCCGTAATGTCCCATCTGTGCCGCCTCCGCCGCGGCTCTGAGGAAATGGAAGTGCGGTCACGCAGAGGACACGGCCGGGTTCAAAAGGCCACGCAGCTTTGTCCACTTTGTCTGGGACTCGTGAGCGCGCGCGAGGGAGGGCCCCGGGGACGCGCATGGCTGGAGGGGGCTCGTGAGGGGTGAGAGGTCAACTTTCACTGTGACTTCGCCTTCTACACTGCAAAAAAAGGATTGGAGACGGATTTTTGTTTTTTACTCACATTTCAACGTTGTTTTTTTTTTTTTTTCTTTTCAATGGAAAAAAATGTTGATAATGAGACTTTCTACAAGTTAAGTTTAAATCATACTTTCAATTATTTTTCTTGAAGAATAACTATTTTTATACTTCTTTATGATAATTATGTTACAGACAGAGATTTTATACTTGTTTCTTTGACGCCAGAGTTAGAAATTTAGTTTTATTTTAATTAGTATAGAGTTGTTCATGTATCTTATGCTGTGTGCTCATCTTTCTACTGTTCTATAACTTGTATTGCAACACTGAAAATTCCCCACTGTGGGACGAATAAAGGATCTCTTCATCTTCATCCATATAATGTGACTTGTTGTTTATCTGTTAAATTATTCTGTCGACGTTGGAGACTGAAGGAGACGTGGCTCAATTTCTATTCATTTAATTTGTGAATCGTTCTAAATCACAGCCGCAGTCGTCTCGAAGGACTTTACAGAGTTGTGGATTCCTCAAAAACAGTTCAAACCATTCAAACACAGTGAATACAGTATAACATTGGTTCATATGGAGCAGGATCAGCACTGACTCCTGCATCTACCGAAGCCAAACCTCGAGGCCCAAAGTCAAATAGATTGAACTAATTTTTTAATCGTTCATAGTTTTCTGAGCGTGTCAAAGGTTTATGACTCAGACTGAATGTATTTATTTACCGGCACATTACTTATTTTTACATACATCAATAAAACAGACAAAATAAACTTGTAGCTGGTTCGAAAAGGGGTTGGATGAAGCAGAGGCTTATTCTGTACATTTCAAACAGTAACACACACTATGGTATAAGACAACACAACACACACACACTGACATCACACACGCCCAAAATTAAAATGTGTTTCTCGCTCTGCCTCTGCCTCTCCAGTCTGGGATCTACAGTCTCAGTCCTGGGTCTACAGCCTCAGTCCTGGGTCTACAGCCTCAGTCCTGGATCTACAGCCCCAGTCCTGGGTCTACATTCTCAGTCCTGGGTCTACAGCCTCAGTCCTGGGTCTACAGCCTCAGTCCTGGGTCTACAGCCTCAGTCCTGGGTCTACATTCTCAGTCCTGGGTCTACAGCCTCAGTCCTGGGTCTACAGTCTCAGTCCTGTATTATTAAATGTGAACATAATTTAGGGGCCCCGTATGCACAGTTTGACCCGGGCCCCGTATGTCTGGGACCGGCCCTGCTCTTCATAAATTAGCGCCGGAGCAGAGTCCGCTCCTGTTCAGCCGTAAATATGCGCGTGCATGAAGCGAGGCCAAAGGGTTTACGACAGACTGTAAAAATACTGCGTAAATCAGCGGCAGTGGAGTCCGTAACACAGGGACGACTGCAGCACAGGGACGTCTGCAGCACAGGGACGTCTGCAGCACAGGGACGTCTGCAGCACAGGGACGTCTGCAGCACAGGGACGTCTGCACCACAGGGACGGCTGCAGCACAGGGATGGCTGCAGCACAGGGACATCTGCAGCACAGGGATGGCTGCAGCACAGGGATGGCTGCAGCACAGGGACGGCGGCAGCACAGGGACGGCTGCAGCACAGGGACGTCTGCAGCACAGGGACGTCTGCAACACAGGGACGTCTGCAGCACAGGGACGTCTGCAGCACAGGGACGTCTGCAGCACAGGGACGTCTGCAGCACAGGGACGACTGCAGCACAGGGACGACTGCAGCACAGGGACGACTGCAGCACAGGGACGACTGCAGCACAGGGACGTCTGCAGCACAGGGACGTCTGCAACACAGGGACGTCTGCAGCACAGGGACGTCTGCAGCACAGGGACGTCTGCAGCACAGGGACGTCTGCAGCACAGGGACGTCTGCAGCACAGGGACGGCTGCAGCACAGGGATGGCTGCAGCACAGGGATGGCTGCAGCACAGGGACATCTGCAGCACAGGGATGGCTGCAGCACAGGGACGTCTGCAGCACAGGGACGGCTGCAGCACAGGGACGTCTGCAGCACAGGGACGTCTGCAACACAGGGACGTCTGCAGCACAGGGACGTCTGCAGCACAGGGACGTCTGCAGCACAGGGACGTCTGCAGCACAGGGACGGCTGCAGCACAGGGATGGCTGCAGCACAGGGACATCTGCAGCACAGGGATGGCTGCAGCACAGGGACGTCTGCAGCACAGGGACGTCTGCAGCGCAGGGACGTCTGCAGCACAGGGACGTCTGCAGCGCAGGGATGGCTGCAGCACAGGGATGGCTGCAGCACAGGGACGTCTGCAGCACAGGGACGGCTGCAGCACAGGGACGGCTGCAGCACAGGGACGTCTGCAGCACAGGGACGGCTGCAGCACAGGGACGTCTGCAGCACAGGGACGTCTGCAGCGCAGGGATGGCTGCAGCACAGGGACGGCTGCAGCACAGGGACGTCTGCAGCACAGGGATGGCTGCAGCACAGGGACGGCTGCAGCACAGGGACGTCTGCAGCACAGGGACGTCTGCAGCACAGGGATGGCTGCAGCACAGGGACGTCTGCAGCGCAGGGATGGCTGCAGCACAGGGACGTCTGCAGCACAGGGACGTCTGCAGCACAGGGATGGCTGCAGCACAGGGACGGCTGCAGCACAGGGATGGCTGCAGCACAGGGATATCTGCAGCACAGGGACGTCTGCAGCACAGGGACGTCTGCAGCACAGGGATGGCTGCAGCACAGGGACGGCTGCAGCACAGGGATATCTGCAGCACAGGGACGTCTGCAGCACAGGGACGTCTGCAGCACAGGGACATCTGCAGCACAGGTTTATTATGACTGAACATGTGTTTTGTTCCCACGTGTGTCTGTAAACACCTTTATTGTTTTTTTGTGCTAGAGGAAACTGGAGCACCTGGAGAAAACCTATGCAGAGATGGGAGAACATGCAAATTCTTCTGAAAATGGCCGTGTTGGTCCACTCTGAGGAGCACAGGGACTGACCTCCTGCTGGTCCCAGAGTCAGAACTTAATTTTTCATGCTGAAATCTGGAACAGTCTTCCTGAAAATGTGAGACAGACTTCTTCTCTGACAAAGTTTAAATCCAGATTAAAAGCTTAGTTTGCGTCTTGTTTTGAGTTTCCTTGTGTATGAAGTGTGCTATACATATAAAATGGCTTGCTCCGATCGGGATTCGAACCAAGAACCTGCTTGCTGTGAATAGAGTGCTAACCACTCAGCCACTGTGCCGCCAACTGAACTCCAGGTCAGTGTTGGATCAAAAACAACGTAGAGACAATGTTTTAAACTACAGCTGAGAAAAGAACGTCACAGATTTGACGTTTAAATAAAGTTATTTTAAGATGGAGCTTAAGCGGGAATTCAGAGTGAAGACCTGTGACCCCAGCTCCTGCTGTTGCCCACAGCAACAGGATCTGTCAATCACACTCAGCTGCAGCGTCAGGCACTGCCCGCATCAGCTTCATATCACGCAGAAGCTCCATCCAAGCAGCAGCTTCATTCATGCTGCAACCCTCCTCCTCCCCATCTCTGCCTCGTTCCATGCCAGCTCCTTCATCCTTCTCCTCACTCCCACCACCAGGGTCTAGGCCCCGGGAGGACCCCCACCAGGGTCTAGGCCCCGGGAGGACCCCCACCAGGGTCTAGGCCCCGGGAGGACCCCCACCAGGGTCTAGGCTCCGGGAGGACCACCACCAGGGTCTAGGCCCGGGAGGACCACCACCAGGGTCTAGGCTCCGGGGGATTTCATCTCATTATCTTTTCCCTTCTGCAGTCGTGCAGTGCTCTGCCGGGGTCTAAGGCCAAATCCCACCACATTCTGTTCAGCACAATAAATGTAATCTTGAAAATATGTCTTTAGTGTCAGATGTGTAAATCATGCAGTGTCAGATTATCTGACGATCAACAAACAATTCTAATACTATGTTTTGCCTGTTCCAGTCTCTCCAGATTGAAACAAGATTTGCAACAAAGTGTCTTCGCAAACGGCTGATAACGATCTCGTCTGGACCACAAGAAAACAGCTGTGGTCTTCAGACTTCTGGAAACTTCTACGTTCAACAGAACGACTTTGGACGATTGTTTTGTTTGAATGTAGAATATAATATCAGAGAAACCTGTGGCTCAGGCGCCGGATGGGGGGGTTCAGGTGAGGCTCGGGGTTCAGGGGCCGGGGGCCAGGGGCTCGGGGTTCAGGGGCCGGGGGCTCGGGGTTCAGGGGCCGGGGGCTCGGGGTTCAGGGGCCGGGGGCTCAGGGTTCAGGGGCCGAGGGGCTCAGGTGAGGCTCCTGTGATGCGTCTGTGGCTCAGACTCATCTAAAGCTGTTCCAGTGGATCGTGGATCGTGCTGCGACGAGTTTCACTGCAAAGTCAAAGATGGCGTCCGTCCATGAACTACATGAACGCAGTAGATCCTGAAATCTACACAAAAGGAAGATTTCAGTCGATCGTGACTCAAAACATGAAGTTAACAAAGTTAAAAAGACTGTTTTGTGTCTGAGCTGAAACGTTCTCTCTCAGATCTACATTCTCCAAACTAGAACCACCCGAAAAATACTTTTATACATGATTGTTGGATTGTAAAACATAAATGGATTCTGAAAACTAAACAGTTTAGTTTAGTTTAGTTTAGTTTAGTTTAGTAAATGACAGTGAGACGGAGCAGTGCTTTACAGTTTATTAACAGTCGTAGGTAGTATACGTTGTACTGGACAAAAACATTTTCAAGTCTAAGTAAACATTGTAAAAATCCTGTAGCTCAGGTTCAGTCGTCGCCTTCGCTTCAGAATCACCACAATCTCTAAATATTTACAACAAAAGTCTAGTCTTAAAAAACCTTTTCTCTTCAACAGTTAAAGACGGGGTTTGGAATGAAACACGTTTGTTCTGCTGCAAAAGGACTTTATTAAAACTAAGTGGATCGGAGACGTTTATTTGGCTCCGAAAAAGTGTCAATGTTTGTTTTGTTTGTGTGAGAGACATTTTGGCACAAATGAGAGCCTTTCAAACTGTGCAACACTGAACTTTCTCTGCTCCTCTCAGTCTGCAGCAGTAACTTCCTGAAGTTCAGTCCAATCAAAAGAGTCGAAGTCAAAACTGAAATCTCTGAACTCCTGCATGAAATAAGAAAACAGTTCTTTCTGGTCCGAAAACTGCTTCTTTTCAAGTCATAATAATAATAATAATAACAATAATAATGATAATAATGATAATAATAATAATAATAATACATTAGTTTTGTGCAGCACTTTTCAGACTCTTAAAGTCTCTTCACATCATTATTCTTTCACTCCAAACACACGACTGTAGCCACAGCTGCCCTGGGGCACACTAGACACACACACCAGACTCATTCTAATGTGGGGGAAGTGTCTTGCCAAAGGACACAACCACAGTTTGGCACTTTACAGCCGCCCCACTGTGGCACCTGCTGTTCCAGAGGTCTCCCATCACAGCATTAACCAGGCCCTTCCCTGCTCAGCGTCAGAGTTCTGAGATTCGTACCCAGCTCTATCAGCTGTTGATCTCTGGAGCAGAAGTCAGAGCACAGAGCCGCTGATGTTTATGTGAACAGAGACAGAGACGTGTTTATGTGACTAGGGCTGTCAGAGTTTACGGATCTATTATTTATTGAGTGCTTGTGGCGCCACCTGCAGGTGAAAGCCACATCCTGTCAGACCTATGATGCTAAGCAGGGCAGGGCCTGGTTAGTGCTATGATGGGAGACCTCTGGGAACAGCAGGAGCAGGACACTTCTCCCTCAGTCCCTCGAGGCTTCAGTCGGTTAGAACCACCGTGTTTGTCCAAAAACTGATGAATTATTATTATTATTATTGTTATTATTATTATCATTATTATTAATGTTATTGTGAGAATAGATTGGATTGTATTAGGTTTGATCGTCACAAAACCTCACATCGTCCTCGAGTGAAGCCTGTGGGCGTCTACTTCCTGTTTGATTTGGCTGGTGGTAAATTTATACACAGGTGTATACTGTATACACAGGTGTTCATACACAGGTGTTTAAACACAGGTGCTGTACGGTCCAGCGAGTTCTGGAATTCATAATAAATAAGTCATAATTATTCTGTAACTTATTGTTGAAGATTCTCTGGACTAAAGTCCAAAACAACCCAAGAACAAACCCATGAATCTGAGTCATTTCAATAGTTTTCACTGAAATTTGTGTTTTTTGTAGCTTAAAACATAACAGTGAGAGAAGAGAGAGAAAAGAAGAGAGAGGAGAGAGAGAGGAGAGAGAGAGAGAAGAGAGAGGAGAGAGAGAAGAGAGAGAAGAGAGAGAGAAGAGAGAGAAAAGAGAGAAGAGAGAGGGGAGAGAGAAGAGAGAGAAAAGAAGAGAGAGAAAAGAAGAGAGGAGAAAGTCCAGGGAGAGCTTCTGTTGCTCTCGGACCACACACATCGGTCGACACAGTCACAAATTAAGTACATTGTGGGAGGAGGGTGGAGGAGGGGGGAGGAGGGGGGAGGAAGGGGGAGGAGGGGGGAGGAAGGGATGAGGGGGGAGTCCAGGGGGGAGGGGGGGGGTGGACTCCGGCTTCTTACGGAGACCAAAATTAATTTCCAAAGAACGTCTTTGCGCTGTTTGAAGTCTGTTTTGAACGAAACGACACAGATGAGAAAGAACGAGTCGACAAACCTCGGTCTGGATCTGGTCTGGACCTGGTCTGGACCTGGTCTGGACCTGGTCTGATTTGATTGAAATGAACGAGTGAATAAAATTATATCACTTTAACCACAACTTAAGTCCGGTCTGTAAAACATGTTTGGCAATGACAGTTATTCTTGTTTGTACCAGATGTGTTGGATTGATACGTCTGACCTTTTTTAAAACACAATTTCAGATTTTCAAGCAATAGTTTTTTTGTCATTTTAAACACATTTTTGTCACTGAAATCTTCATGTTTGGTTTTTGGAGGTAAATGTGAAAGGATTTGCTAAAGAAGGGGTGAGAGTTTATTTGTATGGCACTAGAACAGATCTGGTTTTTAAAAACTGGACTCGGTAAAGCAGCTTTAGATTTAAATCAGACTAATCTTTTCAAAGCAGAGACAGATTCTGCTTCACTTTGACAAATATATCTTTCCGAATGTGACCATTTTCAAAACATCATTTCAGATTTTTAAGAAATTGTTTTGCGCCATTTTAAACAGACTTTTGTCACTAAAATCTTCAACATGTTTTGTTTTTGGAGGTAAATTTGAAGGATTTTCTGAAGAAGGAGTGAGAGTTTATTTATATGGCACTATCTGATTTTACTAAACACCGTTCGGTAATGGCACAATTTAAGCCTTTCAAGCAATTTTGGTTTTGAAATGATGACGTATTCTCAGGTTTATCGACTTTATTCAAGCCTTTGAGATGATTATTGATGTTGTCAGAAATGTTTTTTACACCAGTGCGAGATTCTGCGTCACTTTGACAAATACATCTAATTTTTTTATTCAAATTCACACTGAGAACATTTATAATAATCTAAAACCTGATGATTCTGGAGGAACTGTGTAGTTGAAGTGATTAAATAATGACTGTATAATTATTGTTGTTTCAGGATAAATTCACTCAGATCCAGACCGAGGCCGTGATGACGTCATTCCCACGGTTTCACTCCGTCCGTTTGTCTTCTGTGTCCTCTCCGTCCGCGCTCGTGCTGGAGTTGATCAGTTTGTTCTCCTTCTTCCACTTCATGCGTCGGTTTTGGAACCAGATCTTGATTTGTCGCTCCGTGAGGCAGAGCGCGTGTGCGATCTCGATGCGCCGCCGCCGCGTCAGGTACCGGTTGAAGTGGAACTCCTTCTCCAGCTCCAGCGTCTGGTACCGCGTGTACGTCTGCCTCCCGCGTCGGCCCGGGCTGCCGAAGGTGCCTGCGTGCACGGGGGGGACACGGGGTTAAACATTCACAATCTCCAGTCAGCTTTGGGTCAGTGTCGGTTTCATTCAGGATGTTCTAAACTTAAAGCTGTGCGTAATTGTGCGTGTGCGTAATGGAGGCGCGCACACGGCCGCATCCAAAAAGAAACGTCTCAACGTCTGTGTGTTTGTCTCATGATGGACACAAATCTGAAACAGTTGAACTATAAGTACGTCATGTTTGTTTGTATAGCGTGTTTTTCAGACAAAGTTATCAGATATTTTCCATTCTCTCCATGAGAAACAGGTTCAGTTTTTAATAAAGACCTGTGCAGTGTGTGGCGCAAAGACAATACTAAGATTGTGGAAAGTTAGATTTCTTCCTTTACTACACATTAGACATTATATTTTGTTTATTACCAGAGGTAATGAATATGAAAAACAAACGCGCGGATTGTAACACAGAAGAAAGATAAGTTTATTCAGTCTCATGTGAGTAAGTAATCTTTATTTGTATACCGCCTTTCACAGACCAGAGTCACAAAGCGGTTTACAATTGTTTTTATTTTTGGGCACTTGTCCTCTCACTCCACACAGAGAGATGGGAGCGGGGTCCCCTAATGTCCCCTAAACATAGAGATTTCATAAATAATCAATTTACTTTACAGATTTATTTGAATTGACAAAAAAGTGCGTGGATTTACGCACGCGTAACTCGTGCGTAATGACGGGACTAAAGTGAATCTACAGACTTAAATAGCACCGCGTACACAGTAGGGACAGAAAGGGAATGTTTTAGCAATATTTGCTGATATATATTTGTAATGAATATTAAAGTCTCTATCTGCAATATATAGGGCTATTTCTTTACATTTCTAAACATTTGACTTCGACCAATATGAAGGGTATTAAACGTGCATAATGGAAGGCACGCGCACGCACAAACTCAGATGATCACATCATTTTAAATTTTCGGTAATAAAATGGTCAAATTGGTTGAGTAAAGTTTTATCCAAATGCACAGATTACATTTTATTGTTTGAATTGCAAACTGTAAAATCTGTACTGTACCTGCCCTCGACGTCATATTAATAATCACATTTGGACATGAAAGACATTCAGATATTTCAGATATTTACAATTTACAATCAAAGAATGCATCATGTCACTGTTCAAAGGCTGTTTCAGGAACACACGGAGCTCCTTCTCCTGCAGCAGAGCAGAGTGACACAGGTACATCCCCTGATTACAGACCCTTGTTCTCCCCCAACAATGCACCACTATTACTCCATGTTTTGGCTCTTTTCTGTTCGGCGTTCGCTTGATTTACGCACCGATACAAAACTGTTACACGGCTTGGCACAGAGGCACACAGCCTTTACGCACCGATATGCTCGTAAATCATACCACCCCACAAAGGCACAACGCGAAGCAAAGCACACATCGTGGAGTTAAAGCTGTCTGCGCTGATTTGCCGTTGATTTAAGCGCTCCCGTGCGTCCTGGAGAGTTTAGGGCAACTTTGCGCACGGGTTTCATGTTGCCTGTGTCTAAATTAGAAATAGAGTTTGGAGCAGTTTTACGCATGCGTGTGATTTGTATGTAGCAGAGAGTTATGTTAAAACAGTCTGGATCAACTGTATGCACGGGTATTTTTCGAATATTGCTCGTGTTCAAAGCAAAATGATACATTGGCACAACTTTACGCACGTGTTTATACTAGAACATTGGACTACAGTAACATACAGCTCTTTACAGTCCGCTTATATATTCGTCTGTGTTCTAAATATTATCCTATACTTTGGCCATTGCACTTTGGTTAGAGGCTAAACTGTATTTTGTTACATTGTTCTGACTTTGTAATGACAATAAACATGAAATTAATCTACTAAAAACACTTTGGATAAACTTTACGCACGGGTTTAATTCCAACTATCTTTGACCTGACGCAATTAAAAATCTAATTGCACGTTATGGGCAAATATACCACATTTATATTTGTACAACTCTAGTTCTTTGTCTATTTTTTACTTCTTAAGCAAAGAAGACATAACAGTGCATCTATCGCCTATAACTAATTAATAGTAATAATAGTAGTTGTAGCAGCAACTTTACGCACGGGTTTGAACCGATACACAATGTATACACACTTTACAGAGAAACTACAACTACACACATCTAATTAAATATTGTGCTGTAACCAAACAACCACATTAGCTTCACTTCTATTGGACTTTATGAATTATCAAATTGGTTGCTTTTTTTCGTCTCTCACATTCATTCCTGTGACTTTCCCTTTCTCGTGCTGAATAACCACGCTGGGTTTTCCCCGCGTGGATTATCTTCACGCACCCCCCGCGTCTCCCCGTGGCCCGCGGTGGTAAACACGGTGTTGTCAGTGTGTGCCTGTATTGATCCACGGGGGAAAGACGGAGCTCTCTGGATGCATGGATGGAAACCGCGGTTGCTCCGAGTCCATAAATATAAAGTGGATTATGGAGCAGCGCGTCGCGGCCCCTGATCCATCTCAGTTTGGCTTTTATTCCGCAGATGTGTCCCGTAGATACGTCTGCTCCGCGCGGTGCTGTTTCCACCTCATCTGTCAGAGCTCACGGGCTGCAGCCGTCACGGAGAGTGGGGCTCCATTCGTCTTTACGCACAGCTCTTTCTCTGTTTAACGTCCACAGAAAGGCTGCAGTGTTCTGGGGACGTGCCCGCGCGGGTCATTATTCACGGGGAATGTGCTCTGATGTGCGCGGGCTTATCCCACAGAGATAACCGAGAGGAGATACAAGCATGAGTTTCCCATGTGGAAGAGTGTGTGTGTGTGTGTGTGTGTGTGTGTGTGTGTGTGTGTGTGTGTGTGTGTGTGTGTGTGTGTGTGACAGGCGCTTCCTCTTCAGCGCCTCGTGTACATTGAAGAGCTGTATCTGCCTCTCTCTGTATTCCCTGTTTACGCCGTGTTTACGCGCACACAGAGCTCTCCAAGCGGCGTCTGCACCGAGACATCTCCGTCCGCTCCCGGGAGAACTGCTTGACACGTGTTTGTTTCTTATTATGCGTTGTAAAGTCGTCCACGTTGGTGATAGATCCAGACTTTTACATAAATGTGTAAATGTGCATAAAACACATGAACATAAGGGTCGGTGACTCTGCAGGAGCAGGAGCTACAGCCTCAGTCAGAGACAGTTATGATCCTTGAAAAAAGACAATTCTGGACAGTGTTGATCCCGCTCCTGTGTGTTTGTTATTATTGTATTTGTTCGAACTGTTTGATTCTCTAATCTGAATCACCAACTTTATAAGTTCCTCCGAGAGGCTGTTATTGCAAACATAGAGCAGAAGTGAAGAGTAAAGTGTCAGTAACATGTGTTTACTCTCGGGTGAGAGCGGCGTCAGTACAGTACAGAACAAACGCGCTTTATGGCGCCTCATAAACACATGACACCGCCACAAACGGACACAGGAAACACACGTCACTTTGACGGCTCATCATGAGGAATGCAAACACACTCACCGTTACACGAGTTCATCCGCTGCATCCACGGGTAGATGGGCGCGGACGCCCCGGGCTTCTCCTCCAGCTCGAACAGTCCTTTGGAGCTGAGTCCACACTCTTTCCGGTGCACTCCGTCCTGCAGCAGCTGCTCCTCCAGGCTGCACGCCTCCTTGTCCCGGTAGAAGCCCGCAGCCGCCGCTGCTGCCGCGGCTGCAGCTGTGGCGTAGTCGCAGGCGGTGGCTGCGCTCGTGGCCCCGACCCCCACAGCTCCCCCCGGGGCCCGGTGACCGTACGGCCCGCTCTGCTGGTAGTAGGCGGAGGCTGAGTACTTGTCCTGGGCGCCTCCGTACTGCACCGCCCCGGGGTAGTGCCGCAGCGCGTCCGCCGCGTACCCGGAGGAGTAGAGCGGGATCTGACCCAGGAATGAGTCCGCGGCTGCCGCCTGCGCCCCTCCGCCCGCCCCCGGCACCGACACCGGGAACGACGACGAGTTTACGAAGTAAGAACTCATGTGGAAAAGCGGAGGGCCACGGGACAGCTGCTCCCACACACGGAGGAGGAGGGTCAGGCTAACGGCTAACGGCTACCGGCTCCTCCCGTGCTCGTGCTCGTGCCCCTGCAGCCGTACCTATCATTTGTTGTGTTTTATAGCCGCCGCTCCGACTGCTGCTATCACCGACTTATCTCACACAGACCGGGGCTCTCAGGGAGGGAGGGGGAGTGCCCGCGTGCGACAGGAGAGAGAGGGCGAGCGCGTGCGTGAGTGTGCGCGTGCGTGCGTGTGTGAGAGAGAGTGAGTGTGAGGAGGGGGCACGGGAGGCACAGCAGCTGACCCCGAGCTGACCAATGACAGCGTCCCGTGCACCGAGTCAGAGAGGTGCTTTTGACAAGAGGAGGAAGAGGAAGAGGAGGAGGAAGAGGAGGAGGAAGAGGAGGAAGAGGAGGAGGAAGAGGAGGAGGAAGAGGAGGAAGAAAAGGAAGAGGATGATGAGGAGGAGGAAGAGGAGAAGGATGAGGAGGAGGAAGAAGCGAAGGAAGAGGAGGATGAGGAGGAGGAAAAGGAGGAGGAGGAAGGGTAGAAAGAGAAAGGAGAGGATGGGAGGAAGAAGAGGAAAAGGAAAAGAAAGAGGAAGAGGATAAGAGAGTTAAACTCCTCTCCTCCTCACTCCTCTGCTTCTCTCCCCTCTTCTCCTCTACTTCCTCCTCTCTCCTCTCTCCCTCCCTCCTCTGCTCCTTACACCTCTCCTCCTCTCCCTCTCTCCCCTCCTCCTCTCCCCACTCCTCTCTCCCCCTCTCATTCTAGTCCCCGGTGTGACATTGGGCTTCACACTGGGTCGGGCTCCGTCTGTTCGGACCACAGCCGCCGATGCTCGTTCACGCTCCACGGCGCGCGCCCGTAGGGTCCGTGCTGCTCTGAATAATAAACACGTTAAAGCGGCTCCCGGTCCCGCGCGGTGCATAAAGAGAGAGCATTCAGAGGACTCCGAGGGACGTAAATCAGACAGGGCGCGTGCGCGGACTGTGACGGGAGCGCGCAGAGGAGCACGCACATGCACACACGCACACACTTGGTCCACAGTCTTCTGCACAATTAAAACCGCAGCGTAATTAGGAATAAGTGTTTCTTATGATGTCACATGGCTTTGAGTCTGGACTAATACACACACACGCGCACGCAAGCACGCACACGCACACACATCTTTACGCACGCACTGACCCACACTGTGCCACACACGCGCCGCTCGGTCCATGATCCTGGTCCATAAAACTGTAACTGGACCAGACCTGACGCTGTCCAGGTGACGCTGAGCTATGTCCGTGCGTGTGTCACACTGATTATCCTCCGGAAAGAATCAAGAAGCTGATTACGGCCTGACGCACCACGCACTGTGCGGGGGTGCGCTCGCTCGTGCGGCCTGCAAACAGCGCGCGGAGCAAGGACTAGATTTGACTGTGTGTGTTTATATCTACACGGAGGAAACATGCGACATCACATTTCTCTAAAGAGGTGACGTCAGAGAAATCCATACGTTTCTTTTCAAACCTTCACGTTTCTGACATTTTATTACACAACTCGTGCAGCGGGAAATTTTATTCAATGTTATTATTTTTCTGTACAGCTCTAAATCACAACAGCGTCATGCAGGGCTTTCAAAACTGTCGATTCACCAACAGCAGATTAGAGAATCAATAATGAACACAATAACAACAAAGCCATTGGTCCATAAATGTTAATAAATATCTATAAATATCTGGATCACTGTCCTTAGCCCCCACAGGACCAAGTATCTAAGGAAAAAGGACAAATTTAAGATACTTTCAGTTCAGTCTTTCTCATTTCTGCAAAAACTCAGAGACTGACACTTCCTGCTCTTTCTCAAAGCCCGAAGACTCAGTGGATTACGCGTTTCTGAATCCGCGCGGCCATAAATAGTCTTGGACCACAGCGCAGACCTTCTCACACACACACAAAGCCTTTTTTATATTTTACTTTTCTCACTTTCCCTCCTCCCCCCTCCTCCCCCTTCCCCCCCCCCATGAACAGACCTAGATTCCAACTTTTTTATTATATACGAAGCATCCCGGGGCTAAACAGGACAGAGACCCAATCTGTGCTCGGGACTCTGCAGTGTGCGTGTGTGTGTGTGTGTGTGTGTGTGTGTGTGTGTGTGTGTGTGTGTGTGTGTGTGTGTGTGTGTGTGTGTGCAGCAGGACGCGCGGCTTCCTCTGAGCCCGCTGGGAAAGGGAAGCCGCTGTATTGTTGTGTCGGGCTGAGTCTGAGTCGCAGAGTTTCATTATTAATGGAGGTTTTTGGAGAGTTTTTTGGCACGGTGCGTAATGTTTTGCAGTTTTGTTGATTTACGGAGTGCGCGCGCGGTCAACACTTAAAAATCCACTTTAAAACTACATGTGTTTTTTGCAGGAGTGAGTGGCAGAGGTCGTGCGTAAAGAGGGAGTTATAGAAAAGTCAAAAGAACAGATAAAAAGAGGAAAAGGAAGTGATTGTAAATGTTGTGTTTTACGCACGCGGTGTTGTGTGTTGTGGATGAGTGCGTTTGGATAGAGCTCGGATCATGTCAATGTGAAAAGCCTGTTTGAAAAGGACATTATGAACAATACTGTCAATCCAAAAGCAAATAAATAATTAAATGTGGCGGGAGTTAAAGTTATGGCAGATTATGTGTGTTTGAAATATGGCGTTTCGCGCTCGGCTGCACGTGCGTAATGGAACGGCCTGATTGGATCAATATTGACATGAGGACTATTTATGAGCAGAGGCAGGAAGTAAATATCACTGAGGGACGTTTTTGTTTTCAACAAAGAGAAAAAAACATCAAAAATGCAGGAGGAACATACTCACAAAGGATCATTTTAACACAGACAGAAACACACTGAAGACAGACTCAAAGAATGAACTAATACTGTCACACAATGTTAAAGGAGAATATTTAAATATAAATATGAAGGAATCAGACAAACCTCAAACACGGAGTGTGTTTTCACTTTTTATTACAGGAGGAAAAGGAAACACAAACGGCAACAAATGTCGTTTCCACAGAAGGACTAAAGCACGCGCTAGCACCATAACGCAGTACTGTAGTACTGTAATACTGTGGTACTGTTGTACTGTAGTACTTTAATACTGTAGTTCTGTAATACTGTAGTACTATTGTACCGTAGTACTGCAGTACTGTGGTACTTTAATACTATAGTTCTGTAGTACTGTAGTACTATACTGTTGGTACTAGTATGAATCAGTTTGTGATAGGGTTAGAGAAGCATGAGATTATTTTTACTCCTTATTTGACAATTCACCTAAACAGGGAATAATAAAGAAGAAAAGGCCAAAGACTTTCAGAAATAAATCAATTTAAAATGTATGATACATATTACCAGAATAATATATATATATATATATATATATATATATATATATATATATATATATACATATGTATATATATAAATATATATATATATATATATATACACACACATATATATATATATATATATATATATATATATATATATATATATATATATATATATATATATATATATATATGTATATATATGTGTGTATGTTAGTATAGACATATATATGTGTATGTTATATAATAATGTCATGTGTAATGTGTGTAAATAATTTTCCCGCTCCGGGACAAATCTGTTATTATTGAGTCAAACTTTAAAGACGGGATTATTATTATTATTATTATAGATTATTATGAATGTATTAAATCCAACAGTTGATGATGCAGTAACTGAGACAGAAGAAAGAGACAAACTCATGAGAAAAGACTGGATTTAAAGTTTGAGTCAAACTTTAAAGACGGGATTATTATTATTATTATTATAGATTATTATGAATGTATTAAATCCAACAGTTGATGATGCAGTAACTGAGACAGAAGAAAGAGACAAACTCATGAGAAAAGACTGGTCTGAAAAACTCCAACTGCTCCAAGAATGTGCACATGGGCTTTATGGCACCACTGCCTTTTGTGTGTGTGTGTGTGTGTGTGTGTGTGTGTGTGTGTCTCTGTGTGTATGCGCGTGCACGTGACACACACCTCCTGCTTTTATTGCTTTATGACCACTTTATGACACGCTGTAAAGTCCGAGGAATGGCCGTAAACAAAGCGCGCACTTTTCTCTCTTTCTTTTTTTCTCTCACGTGCACGCGCGCTACAGTTGTCGGTTCCATTCCATCTACGTGGCTATTTTTACGCACATACAAAGAGCCTTTACGAGCGTTTGAAGTGCGAGTATAGGCCCTCCAAGTGTCAGGCCAATAAACAAGTGTCTTAAGGAAGTGTGCGTGAGTTCGTTAGACTGTACGTGCGCGCGCATGGACCACACGGAAATAGGTTTTTAAAGAGTGTTCAAACTAATAGGCAGCAGTAAAAATGACGCAGATTGTACCGTTTCAAACCCGCTGATGGGAGAACGTAAGTGTTTTAGGGAATAGTAAACCGCGGATTTTATTATTTCAAAATTCGTAGATTGACGTTTTGAGGTTAAAAAAAAACTACAATAATAAACACATAATGCTGCGTAAACAATGGCGTAATTATTCAAGGTTTCCTCAAACTCAAAAGCCGCTGTGCGAATCTAAACGTGTGGATTGAGGACGTTTTTGGGAAGAAACGTTAAAGGCCAAAGTGAATGTTTACGCTTTTTGTTTTACGTCAATAATATCGAGGGCTAGTAAACAATGACGTAATCCCTAATGACGTTTTTAAGACACAAAACAGAAAAGTAAAATTCCAATTAGAACAAATATGAATTTTAGTTTTTTTTATAAATGTTTTTGTTAATGTGGAATTGTACTCTTAGTAAATGTTTTCATATAAACGTGAGAAAAAACTCTGTGCGTAACGTGCACGAAAACCGCACGAGGCTTTAGTGAAACACACCAAAGTGAAGCTCAAAATAAAACGGGATTTCATTAAAGATCGCGGTTACAGAAGCAGCTGTAGATCGATAGGTTTTACTCTGGTCACT